CTTGAGCCGTCCTAGTCTTTGGACAGTGCTCTTTTCTTTCTTCTCGTTTTCTTGTGGACCCTTCGGTTCCGGTTTGTTTTTCTGCTCCTTCGGTTGAGGTGATCGGTTTGGTCATCTGCTGCCTTCTTCTTTTCTGGCGAAGGATTAGACTGTTGCTTCCGGAGGGGTCCCTGGGTTATTTGATGCTTGGTTGGTTGGGCCGGGAGTGCATTTGTTTTTGTCCGGCTCTCTGCTGTGGTTGGCACGCCACGGCTTCTGGGTCCATGGACTCGATTTGGGTTGCTCCAGTTCCCTTCTTCCCTGTTAGAGGGTGCGGGTTTCCCAGGTCGTCCGCGGGGTTCTTCAGGCTCTCCAGCCTGCGGTCTATCTCCGTGCCCATGACGTCTGCAAGTTCGCGGCTCTTGCCGCCGTCTTTGGTACTGTGTCCTGGGAGGACGTTCGGGCACAGGGAATTTGGCGGTTGAACAGGATTCTTGGCTGTTTGTTACCTTGTACATGTTCCTGGGCCCAGTCGGGCCTGTGTCGCTTTGGGTCGGCAGTTGCGACCTGTTGTCTCGACTTCGAGTAGAGTAGTGTGCGGCGACCGCCTCCCAGGTCAGTCCCATTTTTTTTTTCTCCTCTGTGGGTAGTTAGCTCCGGGGAGCCGTAGGGGCTCCCCCCAGAAAACCAGCGTTGAATGTAAAGAAACGCCATTTTCTGGGTGAGTCCCGGAGGCTCCCCGGCATCCCTCTCTTCCTCCGGTCGGCGTTTTTTTTGCGTGTTTTTGACATCCAGCCTCAGAACTGGGGTGTGGATTGCCAGCGCGGTAGGTCTGGGGCTCCCCCTTTCCCCTCCCGGGAGGGGGGCTGCACAGACAGCGGCGCGACGACGAATGACGTCATACTAGTTTACTCATTTTTGTTTGGGGAGTTCTATCCACTCGTTTGGCTTTTGGTTGCAATTTTCACCAGAATAGGAGTTTGTTTTGGGATGCCTAACCCAGTCGATGGCAGACATAGAATGCTTCCAACCACATGGGGGTTTCTATAGGCCATTGCTTCCCTTGCCTCTCTGAGGGGGGCCAGGTTCTGGCTCGTGGTCCCTGGTAGGCCCATAAGAACTCTGTACACATGACTGATGCCAAAGTCTGACATTAGCATATCAGCCTGGTAAGCTCGGGGAGCTGTAGGGGCTCCCCCCAGAAAAAAAACATTAAAAATATAGCCTAATTAAAAAATAAATGGCACAAGTCTCAGAGGACCTTATGGCACTCTCGGCGCTCTGTGCAGTGCGGAAGTTTGTGAGGTAGGTCTGCTTTGTGAGAGTTATTCCAGCCTTGACTGGAGATAGGAGTCAGAGGAAGAATTTAAACCAAGCAAGCATCAGTAATTATGACTGAGGAGAATGAAAGCAGAGGGCAAGCATCTTAAGGAAATGTGGTAAGATAAGATGTCAACAGTATATTACGAGACGTGATGTGGACGGAGGTCGTAAAGCATTACTCAAGTTGTGAGAGTCGTCAGGGAAGGACGTACCTCGTTGCCTCCTGTGAAGAAGGAAAGTTATAGCTTGTTGTGAAGAGTTTGAGCAAAGGCTACATGTTCAACGTGTGAGGAATCTGTCTGAGGATGACGTGTGACGTATCTCTGTTATCGTGGTAACAATATAGTGGTGACCTGAAGCTTATTGGGTTGTCATACCTGTGTGGACCCTACTATGAGGAAATCCTTTAAGTGAATAAATTGAGCAGGTGTGCCTGTGTGGCACCTGTTAGGCGACTTCTCACTCTTAAGTCAGGACTGGAAGGAGCATTTAGTGGCAGTCGAAGAGGAATTGTGGGCGACCTGATCGAGCACCATATTTTGGGCACCAAGCACAGGCGTCATTGCATCCAGCCTTTTGCGGTAAATGCTCATAATACTGTAATACTTAGCTTGTTATTGTTTGATCGTGTGCCCAGTGATCGTATAGAACGTTTGTGAATGTTATATCTCACATAAAACTGATTATTATATCTCACACCATGGGTCCCAAGAAAGTCAGTGGTAAGGTTCAACCTAAGAAAATAGTTGTGAGTAGAGGCAGTAGAGGATGTACCTTCTTCATTATGTGTGAAGTATGGGAAGAACTGCAAAGTTTTGTTAAAAAAACTCCCCCAGGTAAAGCTGTAGCAGGCCGTTGCATTGACCTTTAAATGACAATGTGATGTCTTACTACAGACAAGTGTTAAAATGTAGGGAAAAACAAGTGTCTTTAGACAGATTCTTAGTAAGACAAGCAAGCAGTGAGTCCTAGTGGTATGCAGGCAAAACATGCCAGAGAGTTTATCCCAGAAAAGTCATCACTGCCTGATGTTATAATGGAAGGGGACTCCCCTTCCAAACAGTAACACCTCTCCTCCTCCCCCCCTCATCACATTCCTCCATACGCCATCAAGAGTCCTCCATAAGGGTAAGATAAACATGAGTACTGTATTGTAATTAGAGAAAAAAATTGTATTCAGTGTAAAATGTATTTGTGAGTTAATATTTTGGAGGGTGGGGAACGGATTAATTCAATTCCCTTTATTTCTTATGGGAAAAATCGCTTCGACTTACGATATTTCGACTTATGATACGTCTCTGGGAACAGATTACCATCGTAAATCGAGGCCCCACTGTATATATATATATATGTTATTTATGTTTTGATAGGAAAATATTTTATTCTGATTTTTATAGGAGAATGCAGTTTTGTGTGTGGGGAAGTTCGTGTATGAGCTTCATGTCTGGTAAATATTATATGGTGGATCTCCAAGTTGGTAGTGGAACTTCAATGCTACAGTG